GAGTCTCAAATTTTGCATGGAGATCCTTTTAGAACGTAGGTTTATCGTTTATTTTTCACCATAACCGTAAAGTAAGTAAGGTGCTCACTAAGACGGGATTTTCCAAAATTCAACCCCTAAGGGGGTAAAACAGGGTCCACGCGTACGAAATGGCAGGCGGCCGCTAGTTATGAAGATTTCTTGTCACAGCTTTTAGGGATTACTTATAGAGTTTCTACTGATAGTTTGATTCAATTCTAATATACTCCTACGTATCTACTTACGAGTATAAGTCACAGCAAAACTTAGGCTTGATGCAGAACGTGCACTTCACATAATGCGCTCTTTTCTAAAGGCTGAAGAGTTTGTTAATATTTGTCGTAAGTCCGAGCTTCGTCCATGAACTCTACTAACTTTTATTACATTTAACAGTGGCGAGCTAACCAGTAACCATATTTGCATAAGATAATATAAATTCGATTACCTAGCAATTTTCCAGTCACGGCCTAGCCCTTACCCAGGAATGTTCTAACCGTCAGACTAGACGTGCTCTGTCAAGTTAATTTATGCCAGTAGATATTTTGGTCACGATTAAACTATTTTGTCCAGGTGTTAAGGAATACAGGTACAAGGTATAAAAGGTTTGTTTGGGAATGCACATTGAGTGGCCGCATAAATCAGTGTATTTTATGCTGTATCATGTTATTAGAGGCATTCGTCGTATCCTGTTATTGGACGTTCCGAATTAACTGACTGAATCCTAGTTCGGTCTGGCTGAAGACAGTTTCTTTTAACTAGTGAGGAATTGGGTTTCGTTACTATTTTATATTAATCAAAGATCGCTTTCAAAAATTTCTAAAGGGACACATTTTAAAGGTAGAGAAATAGGTTATTTTGAAAACAACTTTAATGTATTATCAAGCCTTAAAAGATCTAACTCCGTTTTATACAAATCGATGGAAAAATATCTTACACGGTCCGAGTCCTGTAGTCATGTCATGAACCCTAAAAAATTCTGGTAAAGGGCGAGAAGTTTAACCCTAGTAAATGTATTGACAGTTTACTTTTTCATACCACTGTCAAAAACATTACTTATCCTTATTTTTTAAATATAAACCTAAGGTTTGACGTGTCCACCCTTGACACATCTATTAACGAAGATTTCACAAGGCCTCCTGAACGTGCAAACAAAATATGTGTACTGTTCTGCGAACACATAAAAGCTGTCATTTCCATAGAGTTTATCTCTGTTAGTTGACGGTTAGCCAACAGCTGGCCGATTGTAGGGTTACCACCTAGACGTGAGAAAATCCTGATCGAAAACATGATATTTCAGAAAAAGCTCACATAAACAGACACTATAAAGATGGCAAACCGCTACCAATCGATCAACATGGAAAGTATTGGGGGAGGCCTATGTTCAGCAGTGGACGTCCTATGGCTGAAATTATGATGATGATGATAAAGATGGCCCCTGTAAGTAATCTTATCTTACTTCTTACTAATATTATAAAAGCGAAAGTTTGTGTGGATGTCTGAATGTCTGGATGTTTGTTACTCATTCACGCAAAAACTACTGAACGGATTTTGATGAAACTTTACAGTATTATTGTTTATAATCCAGAATAACATATAGGCTATAATTTATGACGATCTGTGACAGACTAAATATCACGCGGATGAAGCCGCGGGCAAAAGCTAGTTTGTTAGCTAGGCAAAAAGCCTTATAAATTCCGAAAAGAAAAAATCCGGGCTTATGCAGATCAGTGGTAATCCTAGTCAAGTGGGTATGTGAAAAGCTTCAGCTTGATCTTTGTGTAATTGATTCGACAGCAAGATATTAATCTAATCATTGTTTGAGTGCCAACCGGGATCGTTGTAATCTCGAAAAGAGTGATGACTGAACACAAACGTCATGTAACGTTCTTTACTTTCGCTTTAATCTGAAACATTTGGGACACGATACGTCCTCATTTATGAATTTCATAAGGGATTAAGTACAAGTACAATGACAGTGCATCAGACAGTTCACTTTTATTGCGAAATAACGCAAATTGCAAGTGCATAAATGTCAAAAGTTCCTTGATAAGCTGTTTTTTATAGATCTCATGCGAAGAAAGCATAGACAAACTTTTTGCGCCTTGTTCAAAAATAGTAAGTAAGTAGGTATTGATTGATCTTAGGGATTACTGAGAATAAGTGATTATTGGGATAGTCAGGTTATATTTTTCACACACTGCTCTGCGAATGTATCCTAAGTGGCTCTTTGTTAATTGTAAGTTATATTTCCATTTTTTTTAACTCTACATTTATAATCTTTGAAACGACATCTTACAGTTCCCCTAAAACTATTTCATCTGTCTTTCTTTGCCTCATGCCCCAATTTAACATGGTGTGTCACGTCACACCACACACCATTGTGAGTTGTCACGTAGACCCTTTTATACTAATGCATTTTTAATTTCTGTGATGTGAGGACTCCCAGGCTGACATGAAATGAGATGATGCAATAACTCGGTCTATTTTAATTGTTTTGTTTATACACGTCTGCGGTAAATAGGAGTGCGGTTTTTACCATTTATATCTGTGCATAAGTTTTACATTTGTTTGTTGTTACGTGTGTGACAGACCTTGGAAACAAACAAAGCACTTTGTGTAACAAACATATTCTGATAGTAGACTAAATAATTAGCTATAACTTGTCACTTTAATTTCGATGAGAGGTCCCGTCATACTCGGAAGTAGGGTGCATCGTTGAACAGTGAACCGGCCTTTTTTCTAAATGCTCTAATTAGCTGGAAAATGAAGCTAGAAATGTCATTATGGTCTTATCAGTCAGGTAATTTAATAAGGTTTCTAATTTTTAGGCTTAAAATTAGCCTGAGCAATAAAAAGGTAACTTAAATTAGGTTTTAAAAAAAAATGAAATTTGGCTCACTGTGTACTACGGGTAGTTTTCACTGAACCACCCATATTTCAACAGTGAACCATAAAGTTAATTACGAGTAAAAATTATGATTTTGGAAAATAAACAACATAATTTTAGATAATCAGCTTTTATTTTTACAACACAAAAATCAAATGGAAATAAAAATGATTATTTCAACAAACAGTCTTCATAAAAAATCACAGAATCCAAAAATAACAACGAAACTCACACAAAACCCAAATGAAAAGAAAAATGCTTCTTTTAACAAAAATAACTAAACATTGTCTAATAAAGCCTTCAAGTAATCAATAATCAACCTTTTTGGTGGTAAACAAACAGTCTTCATTTAAAAAATCACAGAAAACAAAAATAACACAAGACACAATTGAAAAAAAAAATCCTTCTTTAAACAAAAATAACTGAAAATTGCCTCTTAAAGCCTTTAGGTAATTAATCAACCGTTTGGTGGTTAAATAAAAAAACAGTCAACCGGTTCACTGTGTACTTTGAAAACCTGGTTCACTGTTCAAAACATACACTATTCAACTTATGAGTTCACAAACAATAAGAAGTACGCGGAATGGTCATCACGGAATGTGCTCATTATACAGATAAAACTACAATAATTTTGATACCAAATAGATTTCGTACTTAATATAAATAGCAAAATATACAAAAATCGTAAAGCATGACTAAAAAAACTATCTTTTGTCGTCGAGAAACAAAGAATTCGCAGCCACACTTCACACCTTAGCCACAGTCGCCGGCGCACTACGGGAGAGGGTAAGGGCATCCACGAGACACGTAGTGACTCGTTCGGTGGAACTGGCAACGTCATACTTTTTGAAATATGGCGGTGGTTCAGCGTATCTGGTTGGTTCACTGTTCGACTACCCACCCTATATCAAGGCTGAGTTGCACCATCTTTTATAGCCGTAACTATAACCATAACCGGTGATTTTGTATGAAGTTTGACAGACTTTTGACGTTTGTTAAAGTTAAATTAAGATTTACGTTAAAGTTAAAGAACCAATGGTTAGTATTTTAGTTGAATCTGAGAACAACGCATCTCAAATGCGACATTTCCAAAAATACTTTAGTACACTTTAGTACGTTTGCAGGAAACATAACCAAAAGCGAATTCACATTGCGAATAAGATCAAAGAGTTGACGATCAAATCATTGAACTCTACATAGAAGGAATGCTTGCATATAGACATAAACACTCGCGCCTTTCGCAGAAAAGATTACTACAATCTAGGTGGTTCCTGCTGGCATATATTAATTAATGCCTGTTTTAACATAGAAAACGAATTAAACTTCGACAGAAATGCAGAAACGCCGGCTACTTCACTCTAGCAATAAATTTTAGTTGTTTGAGCTTTACAATTCATGGCTAAATAATTATGAATTAATTCTTCTAAAAGTTCATCTCGTTTATCTTTGAGTACTACACGCTGATGATATTTTTGATTTATTGGTTTTAAGTTAATGAAAACAACAATACTGCGTGCTCATATTATAGTCCTAATGATAATTTTAACTGAATATGGTCGTAAGTTATGTTGGTCCGATATTCAATCTCGACAATTTACTTACGTAGACAACTAGACATGCAAATACTACGATGTATCTATGTAATGATTTGAGCATCTGTGTTTTTGCATTTGCATGAAATTTTAGTAAGATCAAACACTTTCCTATTCTACGAGTAGAATGATATTAACTAAGTGTTGTTATGATAAACAAAGTAGGCAATATCTACCTCTTAGTAACAATAAACTAAGTTCTTGTGCCTTTTCGCGACATTTCTTATCAGCTCTTGACCCGACTCTACGTTTCTCGGTTCTTTTGCAAGTGAAATAATTGAAGTGTTTCGGTATTACTATTATAACATAGAATATTAACTATCAAACGAAATCCAAATGAAAAAAGTCTTTAAACATTTACCGAATTATCACGAATGCTAAAACTCTAATGATATCATTATGTGTTGTAACTTGCTCGAAGGACAGCGGTAATAAGATGAAGTAGCTACAAAATCAACCGTGAATTTCTATCAAAATTACAAAACACCGCAAATTAGACTTACCAGATCATTCCAGTCCCCATCACTATCATCATCAAGAATCCGATCACTTCTCGCCTCTTCATCTTCTCTAACACTCTGGAGATCCTTCACCACTCCATCCAACTGTTCAGGATCCAGCATGCCCCACATCTGCATCGCCGTCAGTAACTCCTCATCATCATCGTTCAAATCCCTCGGATTCAGCGCATTAAGTTTGGCTAGTTTCTCGTAGAGTTTTTCGTGTGGGTTCTTTTCTTCCAGTTGGAATTTCTGTAGCTTTTCGTTGAGTCGGTCGAGCTGGTCTGCGAAGGTGGGGGTCACGTATGCGGTGCGCGAGCGCGAGAGCAGCACGAGCAGCACGGTCAGACGCAGCATCGTGGCGGCGGCGCGGGCGCAACTGATCGAGCATGGCGCGCACGTTGCGCGTTTTTTGTGGACACTCCGCTGGGGAAATGTGTGTGAGCTTTTTCGAAACATGCGAGCTTTTGTAATTGAATAATTGCGTACAAACAAGAAGCTTAATGTTCTTGCTGAAACCTTCGTCTACACAGTAGACTGAGTACAATTGAATTTATGACTTTAGTCGAAGGATAACTAAAAAAAGTTGTTATGTGTTCTACAAATCATTACCAAATCAAGGGCATCTTTTTTAGAAGTATTCTGGTTATTGTACTGTGCAACAATACGATTTGATTTTACCGAATATGTAAGCGACTCTATAATATAGAAAGAGAGCATTTGGTATATTTCTAAAAGAAGTGCTACCGCAAAAGTTTCACAGAATGCAATTACTGCATTTCGGTGCATAATAATTCAGAGCTTAGATAATATTCCTCCTCCGACTGTACTTGCACTGCTCGGGGAAGTTCTGTGTACCCGGCGAGATTGTTTTCTAATTTTAGTCATTTAATCACTCAAGTGAAATTAAATCACAGCCGTGGTCGCGCGGAGATAACCTTAGCGCGCGATTATCTAAATTGTTGTGTACAATCTGGGTATTCTTATTATTTATTTAGTGGGAATGTCCCACTGCCTCTTCTCATTACCACTTGAAATTTTAACGGGGCTAATCCCATGTCTCGTTCCTACCGTGGCAACTTCTGTGTAGCCACGATCTACAATTTGAGCGCCAATTAATACCGGGTCTATGTTTGAGACTATAGATTGTGTAAGACCTTATGTACAACATGGAATGCAATAAAGATATTGACTATATAATTTAAAAAGGTGTGCAGGACCAAGTTGTTGTCCCAGGGAAGTGTCAAACTGTCATTGGATCTGCAACGGAATTGATCAGGAAGAAATATGATGAGTTCGAAGTTCACTCTGGTGCAAAGCGGATGACAGATGACAAACGTTAAAAATAACCGAAGGGTCGAAAATTCAAGACGTCAATTTCGAGTCTGGTTCATTTCGTATCGGGCTACAATGCCAATAGGTGCGGGTTTGAATATCACTGAAGGCGACTGAAAATTTGACGATTACGAGCATTTACACGAAGAGCTGATGCTTTAATTTGTGTATGTTCATGGATTTCTCCGTTATTAGTTTATTCTTTCACACGACTTGAGGCTAGTTTGAGTGCGGGTGTTTCTAAAGGGCTGAAGAAACTCATAGTCCAGTAGAATTAGCTTTTAAATCGGAAATAATTCCTACAAAAGATTTTATTGTTTTAATGGCTTCATTGGTTGCCCATTAAGACTCTCCTAAGTTTTCGACTTCGACGGAGTTGTGCTTAAGTGGTGGGGGCCCCCGAAAGAGGCATTTTTTCGGTTTTCCGGTTATACCGCGTAAAGGACTTACCCTATCAAAAAGTGGTCTTCATGACGGTTGAAGGGCACTTAATCCTGCATTGAATAAGACCAAATTCATATGTTTTGGACAAACCGTTCTCGCGTTAATGTTCGGCAAAGTAGAAAATATACGTGTAATTAATGACCCTCTCCACGTCCAATGGTTTGTTACCCACAGGCTTCCAAGTCTTGAAAAGGGCCACCTCAACCAGTGTAACCCTATCAAGGCTTACGAGCTTGATGCGCCTATCCTTGTTCTATACAGTGTGTCCGGGCATGTAGTGATCAAACTTTAAGGGCGTAATCTATAGACAATTTTATCGGTGAAAATACTTTAAATTTGGGGCTTGACCCATTTCTCGCATATTTACAAGGATTTAAGTTTTTAATTTTTAGTTTTCACCTCTTCCTTCAAAAACAAATGATAGCGTGAGTAGCTTAACATTAATAAGCAAAAATTTTATATCATGCGATAGCCAATAAAATTATCTATTAGTAGAAGTAGAAAACAGATACAAGTTTCATACATTTTAAGGGTGTAAGAATGGATTTAATTAGAAATAAACATGATTTTTTTCATATCTTTTTCAGTTATTTCCCAACACAAGAAAAACCAGGTCGTTAAGGTATGTTTTATTTGCATTGTATTATTAGTATTTGAGCCATTCTACAAAACGAATGTAAATTTATTAGTCTACGTCTATTACTTTCGACGTAATTGTTGAACAAAGATACCCATTCCCAGCGGTTTAAAAACTTAAATACTTGTAAATATGCGAGAAATGGGTCAAGCCCCAAATTTAAAGTATTTTCACCGATAAAATTGTCTATAGATTACGCCCTTAAAGTTTGATCACTACATGCCCGGACACACTGTATACCATGAACATTAGCAAAAACAAAAGAAAACTATGTGTAAAATGGGATTGAAAAAAACTGGTCCAAATTACCGGACTCTCCCTTAATAAGCACATAAGGCAAACAGTATCATCTATATAATATAGTAAACTTTCAGGAAAGTAGGTTTTGCTTGTTGTAAATGATTCCTCTGTGGACATTATGACACTTCTGCAACGCATGTAGTCATATTTGATGCGTAATGTTTAAAAATTACCTTATAAATATTTTTATACTCACTAACATGTACCTATGACGAGTAGTCTACTGTAAATATGCCTCGAATCTTCTCTCAGCTTTTCAGATGAAAAATACATCAAACTTCATAGATGTTTGCTCATTACAATGAATCACCATGACGCATCATTCGAGAGTCCTTTTAATGTCGGTCAAGACCTTAAAGCTATGGTCAATATTAAGTTGTAATTGGTAATAAATAACTTCTTGGAATTCCGACAATGGTCGGGAACAATTTCTCCTCAAATATTAAGGCCACGGTGATTGAATGTTGTTATTAAATACCCATCAGCCGTCATGGAATGGAAAATATCTCGCAGACGAGTAATTGCGATTTGTCGAGTCGTAAAATGTTATAGACTAATGGAAAATCAAATTTGAATGTCTCAGATACTCGTATCTTTGAGTCTTTATAGACCCCAACCGGCCCACAAATTGAATCCATGGCTCTTGTTATCATCACACACACCTGCGTTAGATGGCTGCTTTATTAATGTAAACCAATACTTATAGAAATATTTTTTTATTGTTTAAACTCAACAACCTTATGTAGTTAGTTAGTATTTGATTTCTATTCAAAAATCCATTCGGAACTTACTAGTATTTGTAAATGCCTCTGCACATTCAGTAACTATCAAAACAAGAGTTCAAGATTCGGTGCTGATGCATGTATACTACGACTNAAAACATATGAATTTGGTCTTATTCAATGCAGGATTAAGTGCCCTTTAACCGTCATGAAGACCACTTTTCGATAGGGTAAGTCCTTTACGCGGTATAACCGGAAAACCGAAAAAACGCTGCTTTCGGGGGCCCCCACCACTTAAGCACAACTCCGTCGAAGTCGAAAACTTAGGAGAGTCTTAATGGGCAACCAATGAAGCCATTAAAGCAAAAAAATCTTTTGTAGGAATTATTTCCGATTTAATCAATTTTTGTGTTTAATTCTACTGGCCTATCAGTCAAAATAACCAATTTTGCTCACATTGACACTAGCTGAATAGCATTTCCTTTCTCCTAAGCCAGATGACCTCCAAACGCTTGATCTAAATTTAATTACAGACCCATATAATAATAATATGGGAGGCGTGAGAGACGCGCGTTTATTTGTCTACCGCATCTGTCAGCGCGCGTTTTTGCCCTACATCGCGGTTATATTAAGCCGGTTAGCCGCCATTCATAATGTCTAGGAAGACACGGTTTGGTTATAGGCCGACTTTCAGGAAATACACACACTACAGCTACAGGTGGTGGACATTGGATGCTTGAATCGAGCTGATTGTCCGGAAACTTGATTCAGTTTTTCGGTGACCTAAGTCTTTTTAGTTTGATGGTGTCATTGTCAGATGTCCATAGCAACTCCTTAGGTAGGCCTGACACTGATTCAAAGCTCTACATATAACTAGAGTCATAAGAGATGATTACGAATTTAATTTTATGGGGTTGTGCAAATGAGAGATGATTCTAATAGGTAGGGGAGAGTTCGGTATATTGTACCGCCGGGTAAATTGTACCACCCTCATATTTCGTAAAGTATTTATTGAATGTCTGTAATTGCAACACTCAGCGATACACAACTAAATTCAATTAATATCGGCCATGTGGTTTTTGCCGTGACAACGAACACGTGTGTTTTATTTTGAAAAGTATTTTTTCATTGTTTTCAAGCAACTTTTGACAATGCATGCTTAGATTGTAATTTTGTTAAATTTAATCACAGGGTGTTTCATATGTTATTTAGAAGCGTAAATTAGTGTGGATTACAATTATTTGAAACATTTTTCGGTATTTATAAGCTATATTTTTTACCGATTTTTTAAAAGCACTATCACCTAGTCGGCTAAATTGTACCACATCAAGTTGTATGGAACTTTACCAAAGGATTTTGAATTTTTTTTAGTAAATCATATTTTGCAGTAATAATAGCGTAGGTATGTTTGACTAACAATAAATGAAAGCAAAAGACTGGCAAAGTAGATTAGGTACAAGTGTGCGTTACGATAATTGGAATTACAAAACTTTTACTCAAAATCGTGATAGCGTGTAGAACAAATCGATTGTCTATGTTATTAACTACTGTTCCTTTTCGTTACCTAATTTGTTAAGAATGTATCGTATAATATTTTGCCATAGTTTATTTATAGGCTTGAAATTTATTGAAATCCAATTTAGTAACCCTGTGGTACAAATCATCGAACCGGTTGGCTAAATTGGACCGAAGCTCTGAACTCGTATTGTGTTGATTTGTGCTAAATATACAACAATTATGTTGATTAATACCTATGAAATAGTAAGTTGAATAATTTCTCTTTCATTATACAGTGTGTCCGGGCATGTAGTGATCAAACTTTAAGGGCGTAATCTATAGACAATTTTATCGGTGAAAATACTTTAAATTTGGGGCTTGACCCATTTCTCGCATATTTACAAGGATTTAAGTTTTTAATTTTTAGTTTTCACCTCTTCCTTCAAAAACAAATGATAGCG